TCTTCCTCAAAACAGCAGTCCTTCCTTCCCTGGTCCTTGGGTGGACTCCAGGGAGCTGAGTCTAGATAGATCCCCCGAGCAAGTTTAATGAAGTAACGATCCTATGTAACTATGTTTCTTTTTGCAACTGAGTAACATTTGAGTATAATTCAGGGTGTGATTCTTTTTTTGAACCCAAACCTGGAGTCTTCTGGGACTCTAGGTGTATCTTCTCAGTTTGTAACAAAAATAAAGAAAAGCCAAACAAAAGAAAAAAATGACCAACATCCCAGCAGTAAGTTAAAGAAACATAGTAACTTTTACATCACAGGATCCTAGCACAGACTGGACGGCGTTTACTACCATTGCTAAGTAGCTACAGAGTGGCAGGCATCGTGGTAAAGTCATCACATGAATCATTTCACGTATGCTCAAAATAAAAGTATCAAGGAGGGAACGTGTATGGGTTAGAAAACTGAAGTTTAGCAAGGTTAAACGTGCGTGTGATAGATTCTATACAGACTCCATGCACAAAGCATTATTAGCCCTTTTTTCAAAGCTTCTCTATTTATACCACACAGACGTGGAGAGACCAACTATGCCTCTTAAATCTAGCACCTTAAACCCACTACACACAGAGAGCAGATAAACCTGGAAAACAAGACACAGGCGCTCTTACTGCGGGTGTGTCCCTCGGAGGCGGGCCTGCACGGCGGCGACTGTCGAAAGCGGGGCCACAGTGCCATTCATTGTTCAGCGAGCTTGTTCTTACAATCCAACCCACCGACAGCAATGAATGTTGATTGTGACCTTCAAACAAACGCCCTCTCTGCTCCGGGAAGGGATGTCCTGGCATGGCCCGCCCTGGGCTCCGGTCTCTGGCGCGTTCCGGGGTCGTGCGTAGAGAATGGTTAGCCATAGGGTACAATCAACGGTCGATGGTTTTGACTTTAATTCCAAACTCACCGACAGCGTTGAATGTTCCCCGGAGCAACCTCATACTTGGAGTTCTGCCGACCTCACAGTCTCTGCAAGTGCGGGGAGGGGGTTAGAGACGAACAACAGTGCTTTCGGTTGTACATTCTGTGCATTTGAAGCCATTTCAAAGAGAGTAAGAATGAAGAAGCATGATTCTTCCAACCAAGAGCTTGGCAAATCTCCCTGTCACATTGTGGGAAAAGTACGTATGTTTCACTGAATTAAAAAAAAAAAAGCTCACCTTGGCTTAGTTACAGAGACGGAATTATCACATGGTTAATGACAGAGAGAATGTGTTATTCTGAGTAGCAGGAGGTATCCGATCAAAACAATATCTTATCATTTAAATATTGCTATGCTTAGAGGAGGTAAACATGAAGTATTTAGATCACGCCGATTAAATAGAATTTTCTTAGATTCCCTAAAATCAAATGAATGTGAGTCAGTGCTACCCTCTAGTATTTTATATTTTTCTCTCATAGAAGGTTATAGAATGAGTACAGGAAACTTCTGAATGACAGTAAGTGAAGAACCCGCTGAACGCATTTTTCTTAGCTCACAGCAGAGACGCCACGGGTGCTCGGAAGGTGAATGTGGTCTGTGTGTGACGCAGCCACGCTGGTTCGGGTGTGAGAACCCTTGCACTCCCCCCCCCCAACACTTTGCCTGCCCCCTTTCTCCCAGAGTGCTTTGTGAGCTGTTTATTTGTTAAATTACTACCAGCTCAGTTGGATACATGTTTAGACCACTTCCAATAATTTTCTATCATGGATCCTAAAAAAGTCACTTTGGATGTCCCCAAACCAAGACGGGAAGCCGCCCTTTCCTACATGACCAGCATCCAAAGTGGTCAGAACTGGCTACAGTCGGCCAGCCCACAGCCACGTGGGACCCTAATCTGAAGGTGGCCGTCATCTGCACAAGTGAGGCAACTGTTCTCGATGCAGAAGGGACACTTTCACCCTCAAACATTATGCATTCTAGTATTTCATTCAGAACATTATTTTGTATCTGTATAATAAAATATATGACTTTTAACTTATTTTCAGTTACAATCTAGAAATTATTTAACAAAAAAATCAAAATAGAAATATTTTTTCTTTTCAAAAAACAAAAACAAGTATATTGCTAAGAAATACAACCAAAAACTGCCTTTAACATTAATTAACCAGAATCTTCAGTAGTTGGCTTTGTAAAATGTTTGTAACAGTCGCTGTAAATAATATTGCTATACTCAATAGGAACCTAATCAACAGAACAAATGAGCAAGCAAAATATAACCAAAGACACTGAAATGGAGAACTGGTGGACAGTGACCAGAGGGGAGAGGGGAGGGGATAATGGGGGAAAAGAGCGAAGGGTTTGCAGGAGCAAGTGTAAAGGACACATGCACAATAACAAGGGAATTGGTGGAAGGGGAGACAGGGGTGGACAGGGCTGAAGTGGTGGGGACGGTGGGGGGAAAGGCAGAAAAGTGTACTTGAACAACAATAAAAAATGTTAGAAAAAGATATTGCTAAATAAACATCTATGGCACTGAAAAAACCAAAATGTGTCACTTATCAAAATATGTTTTCCAAGTGCTGTGAGAAGTATTTAAGTTTTGAGCATTCAGAATATTTTACAGCCACTAATTTTTAGTGCTTTCTAGACATTGCTTACACAGAACCCGGTATTTTTTTAGGGGAAGACGCTTTGGGGTGTACTGAGCACGTATATGGAGGGGAGGATGAGAACGTAGACTAATCCGGATTTGGCTGCGTCGAAGTCTTTTGAACGAAGCGATTTCTCTCCCCTACTGAATAAGACTCCTCAGACGGCCTCCTTCTCCGTAGGCGTTGCTGCGTCGCTCCTTGGAAGATGTTTCCCTGGCCCGGACTCGGCTGCCTGCGGACCGCGGAGGGCATCTCGCGCCTGGCCGGCCGGCGTCCTGCGCAATGGGGGCGCGAGTGCCAGGTCGGTGCGCCGACGTTTCGCGTCGTGCCTGCCCGCCTCCTGCGGCAGCTGGGAGCATTTGCGGGACCCGGACGCCTTGATAAGAGACCGAACTGTGTACTGGCATCAACACGAAGGAGGCGTGTGGCCTCCCACTTGGCAAAGCTGGAGGGCACTGCATGGCCGCGTTCCGATTTGTTCCCTAAAATACTTCCCTAGAGGTCCTCTGCAGAGTTCAGTTAGCTGAAAATTCTTACATATAGAAGGATTTGCTTGGGACAGTAGGACATTACGTTAAATGTCCTGTGCGCGTAAAGTCGCAGGAGCCTGCACAGCAGCCAGTTCCCGTCTGTCCCAGGACTGGACTGGGGGCGCGCTTCCCACGGGCGGCGTTCATGGAAGGCGAAAGCTCGTCTCCGGGCGCTTGAACCGTTTTCCACAACGGAAACACGCCCGCTGGGACTCGGGCTTCCGCGCACTCCGGGGGCACGGAGGAAACCGGAGGGCCCCGCGTTCTCCAACATCCGAGTTCCACCTAGAAAAACCCTCCTCCTGGCCGGTCAGCTCCGTGTCCTGCCCGCGCGTGTGCGCGCTTCCTGCGCATCCCCGGGCTCCAACTTCCGCCTCGGTTTTCCCGACCGATTCCCGGGCCGTGAGCCGCGGGTGTCGCGAGCGCGGCAAGCGCGCGGCACCCAGTGGTCCCGCTTGCCGCGAGGACGCGGGGTGCCTTTTTCAGTGACCGGTCACAGTCCCAGGACTCTAAGTCGATGGCGGCGGTCGCCCTTCCCGCACAGCTCCCCTGGAATGACAAGCGCCGCCAGCGACAGGCCATTTGGGGATAGAGACCTCCCTCGCCCCACCCTCAGCTTAGGAGGGGCGTGCCAGCGGGACGGACCGACTCGCGTCCTCTCCAGACGCATTTTAGCTGTGATTCCTCCTCCCGCGGCGGCCGCGGAACACGCGCGGCATTTCGGCGTGGCTTATGGTTTGGAGATCGTAAATAGACCACAACGATTTCTGAACAAGAGGGTCACAGGCTGCGCGAAAGCGCCCGCGTGCGCACCGCCAAGCTGACGTGGCCCGACACGGGCGCAAGGGGACCTGGGGCGCGTGCCGCGTAGGCCACAGGGCCGCAGGCTGCGGGCCGCGGCAGCTGTCCGTTTCGGGCATGACGTTCTAGCTGCTCTGACCACCCATGTTTTAGTGACGCCTCCACAGTCCTTCCGCGGGGCAGGTGCGAGAACCGGCGCGTCTGCGCCCCGCCCCCAGCCCCTCCCTACGCCGGACGCCTGGACCTACAGGGAACGGCGGGACGCGGCCGGTGAAAGCGGCTCAGTCGGAGGGGACCCTTCGCTCTGGTTAGTGCGAACATTTTAGGGGCGGCCAGAGCCGCGCATTGGTAGTTTAACCCGTGCTACTTAATGTTCATGGAAATGAGTCACGAAGGAGCGTTAGGAAAGGTGACCGTTGTGTAGGGTCCCAAGACCCCGTGTCCTGGCGTCCGTCTCTACTTTCTTGAAGGGCTTCTCCCGCCGCTCACGACGCAGACGCTTATGACACGTTCCAGCACCAGGCCGTCCCCCTACAGATGACGTGGCAACCCTGCCTGTCGCAAACGCCCAGGCTGGGGGCGTGGTCATGAACTGGGGACCCGACACTTTAGCAGGGGTAGGCGGTGGAGGGCAGACCCCGCCCATCCATGCGGACAGCTGAGGTGCAAGGGGGACACGCCCTTCCCTGCGCTGGGAGGGCCGAGGACCAGGCCGTGGGCGCTGGGCAGGGGCGACCAACCCTAGGGGCGTGGCCCTGAGCTTCGTGGGTACCCGCTGCCGCTCTCCGGGACACTTCTGGGTGCTCTTCCCCAAAACATGGAGGAAACAATTTTGTACAACTCACTTTGGGAAAGGGGTCTGGATTCGCTTTGGAGCAAAGACATTTCCAGCACCTTTGGACTACTTGGCATTGGGAAAAAAACTGGCTGACTTTTAATATGCGTATTAACTGGATTTAGGCATAAAACCCGTGCCATATATATTCCCGAAGAGACCGTGAAGGATTTAAAAGTATTTTTCACAAACAAATCAGTCCAACTGGCACAGACTAAGCTCTTACAATTTTAAAAGGAAATTGTATTTTCTGGAAAGATTTGGAAATCTACATTCTAGCAATCTTTGCAGTGTTTGTTTTTGGACATCAATATACGTGTGCTGTTTGTTGAAAAACTATATAGTGCCCCCAGTACTTGAGTTTATTCTAATGAAGGTTGTTTTTTGTTTTTTGTTTTTTTTTTAAGAAACTCCGCAGCTCCAACATGAAGGTCCTTTAGTAAGAGCCTGGAATCATCAATAGTGTTTGTGTATCTTACTGTCCTTCGTGTATCCACGATTTACTATCACAAGCTGATTTCAACTTTGCTTCTTGGAGTGCAGCCGTGCGACCCGGGTCCACGCGGATGAAGGTTTGTGTGTGCGAGATTCGTAGCGGTTTCAAAGGTGCTCTTTTCCCGGGCAGCTCCGTGTGATGAAGCAGCAGGCCAAGTTCGTGGATGAGACCACCGCTCCCTGGCTGGGTTTTGTCCCCTCGCCCATCTTCAATCTCCTACGTAAAATGTGGGTGCTAAAATCCCCCTCACAGACACCCATTCATGTTTCCCCTATGTAATCCTTCACAATGGACATTCTGCCACAGACTTAGGTCTAGAATCTAGGTAGTTATTTTCCAAATTGCCTCAAAATATATCTTAAAAAAAAAAAAAAAAGAAAGAAACGCAGCATCGTAATGTCCCAGTGAGTTCAGCAGGCCGCCGTGCCCTTTCTTACCTGGCAGGTGCACTCACTGACTGACAGGCAGGCAGCTCTCTGGACGACTCATGTGATGTCTCTACTCAAAAGGTGCTGTCACTCAAACCCCCTGAACTCAGGAGCCCCCATGACTTAATGTAGCGACACAGCCTTGGGGACTCGGGTGGACTCAGGACAGCTGTGGCTGATCCCCGTTCAAAATCGTTTCTCACCCCTGAGCTTACGCTCTAAGTTATTTTAAATCAAATTAACACGCCATCAGCCCAGCACAGAGTGAGACTAGTGTATCATCACATTCTTAAACATTCATCAGCTCTCCGTATTTTTTTTTTTAGTGTTTCAAGGGTTTGTCTACCAGAAAAATAGTTGTGTTCCTTTGCTTTCAAATTTAGACTTCCTCCTGAAGGAAAAAAAGAAAATATATACATTACTATATTGTCCTCAATGCCCCCAGAGCGTATATTGAAGTTAAATTATATCGGTCTTTCAAAACTACTCCTCTATGAATAATTAATCATTTAAAGAGCCAATTTACAAGAACAAAGCCTTTTTTTTTAAAAAAAGAGAAAAACCTTTTTGAATAGAAAAGACCCCAAGGATAATATGAAGTTTGGAGCGAAGCAAATATAATAAAAAAATTGAAGTCATACTTGGAGCTAGATTTTGCTTTTTTTTTTTACATTTTTATACTGAAAAGCCACTGTCACTAGCGCTGCCATGGTGACTTGCAGAAGCCGTGCCAGGCCGTGGTCAGCAGGGTTTATTTTTAGGGGAGAAACCAGCCTCCTTGATCTGCGACTTTGCAGGAATGTGCGATGAATCCCTCGGAGGTCTTGTGGGCTGGGAGTCAAAATAATTTCAAAGTTAACCCCCAGCACCACTGCTGCCGCGGGCACCGCTCTGCTGTTACGATTGACCATGGAAATGAACCTTGGAAAATTAACGGTAACATGCGTGTAACAGAAAATAGGCCTTTCTCTCTCGGAAAAAAAGTATTTGTTTTTAAAATGATGGTAGAACTCTTGCTTATGTAGACTTTAAAATGTTGGTGGGGGAGAGCAGAATTGCATCAGTGAGAAACAGAGGCTTGGGTTTTTAAAATCTTCACGTGACACAATCCACTCTGACTTTATGATTACATCATACTCCATTATGTGCCGATACGCCGAGAGTGCTCATTGTATTAGAATATTGATAACATCTTTCAGACTTTCAACGCTCCATTCAAAATTCAGTTTACAACCTAGCTCTCCCAAGCTTTTTGACTTCATTCCCCACTAATGATGTTATTTGCATGCCTTACTATTTCTGGGGAGATATTGTGAATGTATTCCTGGCCTCATAAATTATACAAGCATCTGTTCTTTCGATCGACAGGATGGAATGTTTTTTGCATCAACCTGTGTGAAACAATGTATATAATACAAATTTTATTTCCCATGAGCTGTTCGTGAATACTGACTTGGTAATAAAAGAAATGTTTGCATGATTAGGATAGGATGGAGGAGGAAGGATGCAAAATAGCAAATACCAAATGCACTCCAAAGTCCCATCTGTAGGAATTTCAGAAAAAAACATGATATTGAAATAGATGTGACTACATTCCAGGTTTCTAGTCTGCAGAGAAATTTTCAAACGAGGTGAGATTAGCAGAACGTGGCCATTTGGACGGACACAGCGGCACTGCTCCTGCAAGTCTCTCCCTCCCGGCTTTACTACCATATAAAACAGTATCGCTGGAGAAGAGGAAAGTTGGCAAGACTTTTCGATACTGAGTTCTGATGTCCGTTATGCGGATGCTGGTTTCCTCCAGCCAAGTCCCCACTGTAGGGACTGACCTTGAAGAACATGGGATCGAAAGTGGGCTTGGCCAATCAGGAGCCTCGCCCAGAGTGGCCAGGGGCGGGAGGGAGCGGGGCCACGCCCCCCACCCCTCCCTCCGCAGGAGACTGTGGGCTGAGTGAGATCCGGGTCCCAGCCAAAACAGCCAAGGGGCCGCTACAGCTACAGATCACGTCACTCAGGAACTCTCACTGAAACGAAATACTTCAGCATGAGGTCTTCATCAAACACGCACCATGCGATGTGCATGGATTAAGAATTTATGCATTGATTTTGAGCCTTGTTAATGACCTTTTCCAAACCTGAGAGTCTGTATTTTTTTTGTCGTTTTTCCTACTTTTCATTTCCTTAATCAAAGAGAATGATTCTATAGGGCTCAATTAGCATTTTCTTCATCCCTCATTTCAGCAGACACACAGGCCCCAACTCGGTACAATTTAGTTAGCAGCTCACATGCGTTTTCTTTTATGAAATATTAATGGGTCAGCTTGTTCCTTGAACAATAAGACCACAGGGCAACTCGGTTCATTGAGATCATAATTGAGGACAGAAAAACAAAGACTTCCTTCATTCAGTGGTCACTCCATGTCTGTGCCGACCAGGAGCATTCCTTATGAAATGTACAGCAGTAATCCAAACACTTTAGCAACTTTCAACAACTCGCCGTACCCTTTATGCCTGTTTCTCTTCCAAAAAAGTCATGCAGAAATATATATAGAGAGAGGAGGGTGGGTGGGGGAGGGGGAAGGGGAGAGAACGAGGAGGGGGGGAGAGAGTGAACCCTTCCACACAAACTGTCAAATCTTCAGTCTTGAGCTGCTTCCCTTTTCTTTTTCTTAAACTTTTTTCAATTAGTTTATAAACTGTATTACTTGTATTTGCTGCATGTGTACAGCTTAGAGGTTAGACAATCATATACTTTACAAAATGCACCCCCATATTGCCGGTGCCCACGTGGCCCCAGAGTTATCGGGATGTTATCGACTGTTCCCTGCTCGGAACTTTGTAGCCCTTTGGCTGCTGTGACTACCAGTCTACACCTCCCAGTCCCCTTCCTCCTTTTCACACAGCCCCCCAAATCCACCCCACCCCCCACCAGCTGTCAGTCTGTTCCACTTTGCTTGTTTTGTTCTTTAGAATCCACACATCAGTGAGATCATGGGGTATTTGTCTTTGTCTGGCTTACTTCCCTTAGCATAAACCCCTGTAGGTCCATCCATGCTGTGGCAAATGGTAGGATTTAATTATTTTTGTGGCCAAGTGATATTCCATTGTGTGTAGGTACCAAGACTTTTTGAAAAGATGTTTCACGTCACTAGGCATCAGAGAAATGCACATTTACACCACAGTGAGCTATCATTTCACATGGGTCAGAATGCCCACCCTCGAGAAACCAACACACGAGCATGGGTGGGAATGCAGACCGGTGCAGCCACCGTGGAAAGCAGTACGGAGTTTCCTCAAAGAAAATGGAAAGCGGAGCCAGTGACTCCACTTCTGGGGATTCACCTGGAGACCCTGAAACCCCAATTCGACGGCACGCAGGCACCCCGGGTTCACTGCGGCATCATCCACAGCAGCAAGAGCTTTGGAAGCGGCCCAAGTGCCCGACAGACGAGCAGGCAGGAGCTTCTATCTTTAACACCTTTTTGGTTGTGGAAGTATCAGCTCAGTTTTTTCCAAACTTATACGAAGACAACAGGACGTGTACCCTGAGACTTCCAGGCCATCTGACCCACCCTGTCTGAGCTTTAAAACGAGGCAGAAGAGGGACCTGGAATGGAAGGAGGACCCCAGCACCCATCTGGCTCCCGTGCTGGACCACCATCCCCGGGAAACGTCCTTCAGAAGCAAACGGCTGCTGCAGCAGGCCATTTCTTAAAAATGAGGTCTCCGCCCACGTGCCTCTTTCTTAGTCCGTTTCCCCTGCGGGCAGTGGGTCCCCCAGGACGGGAATGGTACCTGGTTCCTCTCTGGGCCGGAGCCCCTGTCTTTCCTTGAAGACAGCAGGGGCTCAGGAGGTGCGTGCTGCCTCTCCCTCAAATAGCTGGTGCCCAACAAGACGCAGCCTGTGTCCCCTCTTTACTATTTACCTGACTCTCTGGGGAGCGGTGTGGCAGCTGCAGACTTCCCAGGGGGGCGCCTGCGGCTGGATGTTCTGGAACCCGAATGCTGGTCTCCGCAGGTGGTCGCCCTCCAAGGCAGCGTCAAACGGGGGCAGGCACATCTTGGACCTGACACAGAAACACTGGAAGTCAGTGTATTCTAGAGCCTTCTTTTTCCAGCACCTCCATGTCTCAAAAGTGGGTGACTATTTCACTGTCCAGCTTTCACGCTGTGTCGTGCTTCGACACGGCTTTCCCGCCAAGATGCGGATTCACTCCGTGTCCTCTACACTAGACACACGGTGACCCAAATGGCAATTCTTCACGTGACAGTGAATTCCTGCTTATGGCTCAACACAAGAAACTCTGACCCCAAAGCAACACATTCTATTATAACAGTTACCTGGAAGGCTGAACACCTTCCAATAGTTACCAACTCATTCGACAAAGTCAGTCAGAATCTGCCCTCACCCCTTCCTCACCCCGGGGAGGCAGACTTCCCATTATGAAGTTGTCCTTCTGGACGGAGAGCTATAAAAATACTTTATGCTTCAGGCTATTTTCAGCTTTTATTTTCTGGCAATAACTGGTCAAAGAAAACTCCTCCATTCTTTTTTTAGTGGTTTTGGGAGTAACGAAAATAGTTGGCTCGGTGGAGTTTTTTGAGCTAAATATTCATTTTTTTAAAGTTCCTTTCACATTCTCGGTTCTAAACAGCGCCCTGTTCTGTAAGATCACCTGAACGGTGCATCATTTTGCTCACATACAAAATCGTAACATGTGATTGCTGATGTAAGAGGAACCCTGAAAGCGCACCACTCTGTGGGCCCGAACTACAAGGCTGCAGCTCCAACCAACGAGATTAGCCCCACGCAGTATTCCACCGAGCTCTTCTGAGTTTCCGAGCTCCACCGGAGACCTTTGGGCATTCCGGACACACGTTATCATTTCTTTGTTATTAAAAATCAGTACGAGGCAGTTAAAGACGTCTGTGGGAGACAAGAGTTATCAACCAATCAGCTTTCCTTTTCTATTTGGGCAGCAGCTCAAGTAGAAGGAAGGGGCCTGTTTCCCCACAACCTTTAAATAGAGCTTTTTACGTCGGTTGAAATCAGTATTGTATTGGAAGGGCAACTTTTGTAAACCTCTGTGGTTACTAAAGAGACCTTACCGGAACGGACAGTAAACTTTTAAATTTAGATGTACATCCATTATCACGAGCCTGGAATATTTTAGGAGAAATAATGGAATAAAAATATACGCGGCATACTGAGAAACACAAAACAGATGTCTCCTAAATTTCAGCGTATTTATACACTGGTAAATAGTATATTTTTCCATAACGTGGCATTTCTTCTTTAGGGCAGTTCATGTGCATTTGTGGGAGGGCGGGGGTGGCCCACATTTATTCCCAGTTCTCCTCTCGAAGCCGCCCTAAGGCAGTTGCTCAAAGTGCAACCGAGCGCTTCTCTCTGATGGAGAATCTGAGCGAATACAGATTGACGGTCTGCACGGAGATGCGTACTGCCCTGCCTTCGTACAGGTCCAGCAGGCGGTTTGCTCATCACTCACTCCTGGTTTCGTGTTTTCGAAGGTCTCAGAGACTGGTCCTTCCCAATCTGGAGCTGCGTTCCTTACGTCTGTTCCTACAGCAATGGGCTGAAGTGGGAGGCGTTGTTCATTCCCTGGCTCAACGCTTTTACCGTTTGCTTTGAAACTCCCAGCAGAGTCTGTTCAGGTAGCTGAAGCAAGACCTTGGGAACGTAAGGAGACTCTTCTGGAATCGGAAGTTCACGGTCCCAAACAGGAACCGTCTGTTGGACTAGAAAGCAGTGAGTGGAAGAGCCCCCTGCCGCCTCCCTGCCTACTTAGCAACTCCACTGCCCCCGACTCGGGGAAAATATCCGTCCACCGAAGCTGCTGGGACTCAAGTCGGTCCCTCGGCACAGTGCAACCGAGAAGACAGGCTGGCGGGGGCGGGGGGACAGGGAAGGCCTCTAAACGAGCAGGGTACCATGCCCTGGCAGTTTTACCGCAAAAAAAAAAAAATGGAAAAGAAACTGAAATCGCCTTCTCTTTGTTTTCGTGAAATTCAAAGTTATGAAAGTCTATGGTTTAATTTTAGAGAGTATCAAATGAGGAATTGATACCAAATAGGGCATGTGTTTTACTTTAAATAGATCTGTTCTGCTTCCTGGGTTATAGATGATTAACAGAAAGTGAGTATAAATTTGAATTATTTCCCATTCAGTTAAGAGCTTAAACATTCATTCTCGTAAAATGGGATCTTAAGAAATAACTCCTAAATTAATGATTTATTAAAAAATGCCCACCAATTGTTCAAAGTTATTCTATTCCCATTATTACAAAACATATCCTAAGGTTATATTTCCTATCAAAATAGATTAGTAACTAAACTTCCAGTTCCTTGGATTTTTTTATTCACCTAGTATAAGTAAGTTTACCTCATAGAAGAGGAAATGGGTACTTCCAAAATTTAAGTGAGTCTCCTTATGTTCTCTAAGTACAGAGACAGAGCCTGCATGCAGTTCCTAACCAGGGCCCTTTCCCGGGCTCACTTCCTCCTTGAGGCACTCAGTCAAGTTCATGGTCAAGCTGAACCTCTTCTCCTAGCTTTCAAAACCCTCATCATTGCTCCAACCTTTGTGTGACTTATGGTTCATCTTATGAGTTTACTGTTCATGCTGTTTCAGTCAAAAAGTAGTACCTACAGTTTTATAATACTTAGTGACATAATTTATCCCTATTCTGGTTCTTTCTAGCTCTCTTTTCTTAATGCATTTGAGAACCTAGCATTTGGCAGTCCCCTCCAATCAGCGTCACATTCTGGTGCCCCCTGGACAGTGAGTGTGCTCTCCAGCCAGCCCTTCCCTCCCATGTCCCCAAAGCCACCGGCAAAGACACTTGATCTCAAAATGTCATAACACATAAACCTCCATTTATGTTTCCTTTGAAGAGCAGGGAGGCCTAATGGGCTTTTCCTTTGTTATTTTTCCCTAGGACATGGAGTCGAATGCCTTCTGTTTTTGCAATAAATAAAACTTTTATGTCGTTCTGAAACCTCTGGACACATCACCGTCCCTCCCCCTCCTCCTTTTTCAAAAGCAGCTAAGTCACTTCCCCACATTTGAAATTAAGGAGAATAGATCCAAAGTCAGAAACAGGAGAAAATGCTGGGGAAACACGAGCCCCCCCACTATGTACGGTCTCCACATAGTTTCCCGTCAACAGCCAGAAACCGCGAAAGACCTTCAGCCCTACTGGGCGCACGCGCGGCAGGATTCACAGTATGCCGTGAGGGGGTTCTGCCAACATCTATTATTCAGACAGATATTCAGGGCGACTCGGACACTAGTTTGAATTTTGCTCGTTAGGGCTAACCTTGCCTTACATTCTCCCCAGCCCACAAATAGATCAATGGATTCTTAAAGACAAATCCACTCTAAATGTACAGAAAAAGGGAATATGGGAAGCAGAAAGTCCACAAATATGGAAAAAACCCAAATGAGCCCGTACAAGCCTACCCTGAGGTCACCAGTTCTCGGCAGAGCCTGGCTGCTTTGTCCCCGCAAACCCGGGCCCCGCCCACAGTGACCAGAAGAATCCCTGAGCGTGACCATGTGCGAGCCGTTTCTCCATGACCCTGGACAAGAGGACTCGGGGAGCAGGTTTCCCAGAACCCAAGAACTAGGTGGTCCAGGACGTGGGGTTTCTCTCTCTGTGCGTGAGTGTGCACATGTGAACACATCATTCACTGTGAGCCATGTCCCTGCATTATCATCCGACGTCTAAGGAACACTATTGAAACCGGTCAGAGAGAATGCCTCCTTCTCCTGTGCAGCTGGACAGTAACCCAAGTTGAAGGCCACCCTCCACCCCCCGAAACAGAGTGGTCGTGCAGGAAGACAACCCCGAGAGCCAGCGGCCCGGCCCTGCCTAGGCCCAGGTGAGGGCTGCACCCTCCCCCGCACCCCTCTGTGTCTGGGTGTGAAATGGCAGCTGCAACCTGAAGGCAGGGAAGGGGAAAGGGTTTCTGTCTTCCAGAGACTGCTCTCAGGTGACAGCGCTGTCACCTGCCTTCGGGCTGTGTGTCGTTCCTGCCCAGGCTGTCCCTCCTGGGAGGACTCAGCGCTTGAATCAGGGACAGAGGCGGCCAGGAGCGGGACGGTGCCTTAGCCAACGGCATGGAGAAGAAAAGAACGACTCTGGATGGCCTCTTTTTGTTCACAAGTTTAAGTTCAGTCTCGGAAAGGGTGGCACCCTTCCCTGGGTTAATTCTAAGCAGATGTGGTCCCCACTGGAGACTGGCCACGTCATTCGCTCCCTGTCCTGCCTCAGTTTCCCAGTTGCAGAATGAAAAGGGTGGGCTGGATAGCCCCTCCATCTGCCTCCATTTTAACAGTCTCTTTTCTCTAACCATTAGGTCCCTGAAAGTGCTCTGGGAAGCACTGAACAACTGTCGCCCATTAAAAAGATGAGCAGAAATGACCCCGGAAAAAAACGGACAGAGATGCGCCGGGGAGAGAGGAACTCGGCTTCTTCAGACTCCCCCTTGCCTCTCCGGACCTGGCCTCTCTCGGCCTCTGCAGTCCAGTCACACCCGCCTGGCCCCTGCACACTAGTCCCCCGACACAGGTGAGCTGCACCCCGGCACCTCCCCCGAAACCCCCCAAAATAGCCTGAACGGGGTGCGGGAGGAAAACGGGTCTTTCTTTGCTTTGGCCGGATCCTCCAACTTTAATCCCCATTTCCCACGTTGAAAATAAACGCAGCTCGTCCGTATTAATGGGACCGAAAGGGTTTCTGGCTTTAAGTCCCCTTGTGTCTAATGGGTCTGGAGAGGATGGATGATGGATTAGCGAGGCTGGCGTCTTACAGAGTGGCCCGAAGACCAACTCACAACTCTGTGCGAGCAGCAGCTGTACGGATGTGGCAGCAGTTGTACTGATGTGGCACAAAGACCTCGTCAGGTCTTTAAAAACAAAGCCTTGCACAGCCCGACATTCTTTCTACTCATTCAGAGACTCAGAAATTCCTATTGTAGGAATCCTTTAGAGAGTTTCTGGCCTGTGGGTCCCAGAAGGCACCCCCCCCCCCCGCAAGGGGCTTTAGTGTAACAGCCCAAGTGATTGGATTACAACGACCTGAACTAGGTCTAGCAACAGCACACAAAATAAAACGAGGACGTATATACATACCGAGCAAGATCATACAGCAGGGAAGGAAGTCAACATGTAACTACACGCAACAACGTCGACACGGTGTAGAAACACCATGCTGAGTGAGAAATGCTAGTTCTAGTGGGACCATGCAGAAAACCGTTTTTGCAAAGGTCAGAGAGGCAAAACGATCCCATACACAGAATCAGCTCAGGCCAGCGGCAAGGCCACTGCGAAAACCTGCGTGGGTCACGCAGCACACACTCCAAGGGCATCGTTCCGATCAGGCCCAGGTGGGTGTGAGGGTAGGCAGCTCCTCCATTTGTGAAGGACTCACCTTGCACACCTGTGCGTGGCGGCCTTGGCAGTGGGACCGTCTGGGGTGGGGGAGGGAGGAGGGGGCGCGTTTCGCGCTGTTCTGGTTCTCAGCCCGGTGGTAGATGACGCAGTGTCACAGGGCAGCGTCTGATCCTTGGTGTTCACCAGGGAACAGATTCCCAGAAGTCACCCGAGCCTGTCGGCTGGGCTTTGGGTAGGAGAGAGTGCAGGTACGAACCAACCGTGTTCCACCTACGGAAGGTTTTTCAATCTTCTCTATTCTTTCGCCCCCAGAATCTCTATTTTTTTTTTTTTGCTTCCAATATAAGAAAAACAGATACTTCAAATCAAAATACTGCACTATATATATAACTGCACTATATATCTATATCTATATCTATATCTATATCTATATCTATATCTATATCTACATCTATATCCCCATTGAGCTACATCAGATTCTACGAGTCATGATTTTCCTCCCAACATCAACTCAGTGTGGTGACCTCTGTCCTGATGCTGTGAAAGGGGGTGCGTCCACTCGTCCCCACGCCACACAAGCACCCCCGGTGGCTGCCCCGGTGTAGGAAGCACGCAAAGGGCCCGGGCATTTCCGGGAACGCAGTGCGCTCCCCAAACGTCCTGCCTGACTGCCGAGCCCTTCAATTCTACGCTGCCTGCAAGAAGCCTGTAGAAGGTGGGATTTCCCGACCAAAAATACTAGGAATAAAAGCTGGCCAAATCACTTGGGAATCTAGCAAGTCATGTGTTCGTAGGGCTTGTCTTTTTCCAAAGCAGAGAGACACGTTCCAGTAACACATGCTCTCTGCTGTTTCAGCTGGAGCAGCGTCATTTTAATTAAAAAAATAAACAGAAATGCATCCCAAGGGCGTGTTAAAGTCACTTATTCTCAACAAGCCTCTTGCATCTCAATCTTGGTATGATTTAAAAACTCATTAGATTTTCAAATTATTTAAATTACTGGAAAATACATGAAGTCTCCTGTTGTATGTTTGGAGCATGAAAGCAAAGTCATCCATCAGTTACTAATCTAACGCCTCCTCCTAGACAAAATGTTTTGTTTTTAATAACTATAATATATATATATAAAACATTGGATAGTATGAAGGTGTAAAATACCTGATCACATATTTCTGCCTATCTGTATTTGAGAAAATGCTCACTACTTCTGGAAGAATGTAACCCCTCATTTTTATATCTGCAGGAACATTTTAAGTAAAGCATTAATTTTTAGAAGGTTTTTACTGTTAAGTCATTATAATAAACTTTCAAAAGAACATCTTCAAATTTAAACTTTTCTCTCTGGTGACATCTGAAACACGATCTGTGTTGTGTGCTATAGAAGAATTAATTCGGAGACCAATGTTCATTTATATATAATAATCACCCTATTATACATCGGTTTGACATAAACCACTTCCCTTTGAGAGAAAAATATTTTGCCTATAATTCTCTAATTCTTGACCACCAGTTAATGTGTGTCTATAATATACCATCACCATGTCAGGTATAAGATGACAATCTTAAAATCAAACAAACAAAATGGAGGGGAGACTGCAGAAAAAAGGGGGGGTCTATAAAGTAGTTAAATTAATGTCTTTTTCCCCCCGGATTGCTTAAGCCAACTGATAAGCCAGGTCTGAAAGATAATTTGCTCGATTTTTCTACCAGCAGAGAAGGACAAGGGCAGGCCCGGGAGAGGAGAGGTTTGAAAGACGCCCTGACAGATTATAACCGGGTGTCCGCTCCGCTGACGCGGTGTCCGGACCGCCGGGCTGCGCAAGGCTGTCACTGAGATGCCATCCGAGACACATAGGCCCGATCGCGGACACGGGAGCCCTGCAGAAGTGTATTTGGTCTGCAGTTGCGATGCAGATGAAATGGTTCCTTTGGTGGTGCCCTGCCGGAGCCTGCTGTCCAGAAGGGAGACGTCTTCGTGCGCCTGTCTCAAGCTAAGACAGAGTTCGTCTTCCATCCACATCATTTCGTTAACACCACATACAAAGCAAGGTGTACCGCATCAGCAGGGCGGAGCGTTCCCCGTCATTATTTTAGGTTACTTTATGACTGTGTAGCGCTCAAAAACATGTGCCCCAAATCCCCACATCTGGGTTCAAAGTGATGAGACATGAACTTCCAATGTCTCCGTGTGAGCCGTCAAGCAGCGTCTGTAGCTTAGAAATGAAGAACCCTGTTGATTTCCTCTCTTTTGTATACGTTTTTCCCCTTGAAGAATGGGGGCACGTTTTGTTCCTGAGACTCGGCGGAACACACACGCGCACACACGCGTGTCTGACTCGGGAGGAAGTGCAGCCACTCACCAACAGGAACAAGCGTTACTGGAACATGGTGAAACCAAACACTCGGGGGTTTTAAATTATGATTTCAAAGGCGTGTGTTACACGCTCAGAGGAAACTCTGCTCGGGAAGTTTTCCAGCAAGCTCACGACGTCTCGTCCTCTGAAACCAGACGGAGTCTGAGCCCCGGTCCTGCATCCGGTCTCTGTCCCTCGTTCCCTGGGCCCGGCTGACACTTGGGTCAGAAACACACAGGTGTCTCCGGACCGCAGAATGACAGCGGTATTTCCAGGTTATACTGAACCTTACGTCTTAAGCGTTTATAGTTTGATTTTTTTAATGTTAAAAATGAGAAGTATTTTTTTTAAAAAAAAGTAGACACTGAGTGAGGACTATTTTTGCCAAGACTGAATCTAATATTATAAATATCACTTCTACCCATCTCTTTAATCTCATTACACATCAGTACGACTTCTAGTTTGTCTTCTAGGTGACAATTTGGGGATGATTGAAAGCAGCCTGTCTCATGACCCAAAATGACACTTTTACTCTGTCAAACCTATGTTCTCGGCAGGGGGGCCTTGCCAATAAATGATTGGAGTTGGTGTGAATGAGGAAAAGCTGCCCCCCCGCCCCCTCGCCTGCCTCGTTTTCCTCTTTCTGCCTTGACCTATTTTATTATATCACTGCATCACACATTCCTAAAGTCCTGTTTCTGAGTGGGAATTTTCTGGAACGCGAGCAGTGACTTTAAAAGTTAATGAAAAAAATTTAAAAGCTTAGTCGGTAGGATTCCAGAACCAATCAAAGTAAAACGACCCAATCGCCTTGGACGTTTTCACAAAACGCCCATCAACAGACAACCGGCCACCTCTGAGCAGAAGCCCATGCCACACGTCTGAGTGCCGGGCGCTCAGCGGAAAGGCCTCCCGGTGGGCACCGCAGGGGCGCTCCCGGCGTGCGAGCCACCCACCTGCGGCGGACGGCGAAGGCTCCAGCGCTGCACCTCCCGGAGCTCAGGACCGGTCCCGTGGCGCCAGCCCCCACCTGGCGACAGGTGCGGAGCTTCCCAGCTGCGGATGGATTCCTGGCCAATCACGAGTCCAAACCTCTGCAAAACACAAACGATATGTAAAAATGCTAGGATACAAAAAAGAAATGAACTCTGCTATGGATTCTAAAAAGAAGTTATCTATCTACACAAGTCTAGGAACAGCCCAAGACAGACGTAGAAGTTCCCGAGACCCAGGGCACCGTGGTTAAAAGGGAACAACAGCAAATACGGCGAGAAATGCAAGACGTGTGTCCTTGGCGGGGAAAGACCGTGGACAAAACACTGGATATCTTATGTCTGTCTTCAAAATTGATTTTTAAAAAATTTGCGTCGACACTTTCCTGGAATCCACAATTGCTCTGGTTGCAAGGATCAGCCCAAGGCTAATTTCCTGACAAGATCTTTGGAGCAGGGAAGGCAAGCGAACCGAAGACTACGCAAGCCCACGTGGCTTTCATGGCTGGTAAAATACTCAGTGGACACCGGAGCGTTAAAACATCTGCCGGTCACCACAGGGACAGTTCCATAGACCCGACACCGTGTGTGTGTGCAGACAGAATCAGCAGCGTTGGAAACGTGCAGAATAGTGTCAAACCATCTCTAATCAGAAGACGACACCAGAGACATCTCTCATCAGAAGATGATACAGGCACTGGGACAGAAGGCACGGTCATTATTTAAAATCGACTATTACATCACGAGAGGGCTTGAACCACTAGGAGTGTAAAATTCCAGAAGAAATCATTCAACAAAGAGAGGGACTGAATCAAACTGGCGATGAAGGCAAATAAAAGTATATCATGGAGAACGCTGCTCAGTTTTGGAAGACGCGTGGGAAGGAGGAAATCACTAGAGCATTTGTAAACAAAACAAACACCTCGTCACTGCTTTTTGCAGAGGTTCACGCCGACTTCGAGGGCCCCTCGGCCTGGTCTGCGGCCGGCCCCGACTCGCCGGTCGGAATTTTGATGAATAAGGTAACTTATTCCACTTTAAAGACAGGTTAATTCAGTTGTCATGCCCTTTTTAAAGAATAAAAGCATCCTGAATAAACGACATGTAGATGTTACCAGCCTGAAACCAGAAAATTGTTCTAGGCATCGAGGAAGCCCGACATACAGTGGGTTTTGCTCAACATTCAACAATTCTGCAGGTCTCCGGGGCATCTCCTGATTTTTAGCAAACGGATAGGTGTCTAAAAGACACCAATCAGAGAGATTAAACCAGACAGATTAAATCTGACGAACGAGGCACCACGGGAGCCCAAACGGGGCATCCAGGTCTCAGCGTACCACGAGCACCCATCTCTAACTTAAATGAGTCGATTCTCTTCAAAATACTTCGGGAGGAGCCTATCTTTGCGGGGGCGGGGGGGTGCTTCTTGCACCATAAGCACTTGAGAAAATGAGAAGAGACAGAATTGTGACTAAACCGTGGAGAGAACCAAGGGCAGGAACAGAATCTGGTGTCACTCTCGAAGAACACCCCCTCCACTCTACATGGGGGAACTGGGAATAGGTCCCCAAGGCACAGAGGGTGTCATCGAGGGCAGTACCTGCAAGTGCTCCCCACGGTGACAAGTTACACTTCTGTGTCCGGTTCCAAAACGGGGTGGGTCCCAAGTGGCGCGTTCTCCGGTATTGCAGCTTCTGGACCTGCCGGAGAAAAGATGCAAACAGTTAGGGCTCTTAGGATGTGTAGCTAATTCCTCCCGTAGGACAGACAGGAGTCGTGGCTGCTACTGTGACAGGGCCGGGTCCCCAGATGTCAGGGCTGCAGACAGGGACACAACTTCGTTATCACAAGATCACCCTCCCCGTTGAACTCCGTGGCCCTGGCACTGACGTCAGCACTTCGGGGACGCACGTGCGAACCGGAGGTCATAGTGGGGAGGGGGTGGGCGTGGGACCCTGCCCCTGTGGGATGGGACAGGCCCCAAGCACTGAGTGTGTAGGAGAGTGTTGTTGGACTTCCAGGACGGCTGAGGGCTAGGACATGTTATCAGCCAACGCTGGGCTTGCGAAGACAAGAACCAAATAATGAGGTTTATCTCTAAGTACCCCAGAACTATGGCTTGTCCATCTCCTAAGAAGATAATGTTTCGACACAGATTTAATAAGTGGCAGCTCTCCGTGAAGCTGTCTTTGCTTATTAGTGTCTGAGAAGAGCGAACAGGAGGCCAATCTGCCTGTATGGAACCGAGAACAGCTTCTCTGTCATCATCTCCCACTGTTCCCAAAAGTCAACAAGTGATCAAACCCTCTACGAGCCTTTATGCCCAGGCGAGAATCAAGGGGCCGTACTTCTGTAAGAGGATTTTTAACACGACATGGACGTGGGCACATTTCACTGGGGAAACCAGGGCACATTCATGCACAGGTTACTGAGACCAACTGGAAAAAGTCAACTGAACAATCCCTTGCTTTTCTGAGGTTCTCAGTTACTCACCGCTGAGCACGGGGCATTGGCTGACTCTTTTTTGCAGTGAACAGCACAGGGGACACTTCAGTTCACCTCCCAACGGTCAGTTCTAGATCCATCCCAGAGACGGGGGACCTGCCCTCTCCTCCGCCCCGGAAACCCTGTCCTGCCCAGATGCCAGGCTCTCCCTGGGCTGCGGGAACAGCGCGGGCCACTGTTCGCTGACTCGCACTGAGCTAACGAACGGTGGGCCACTCAACAGCCGCCGACCGTCGTGGGCAACTCCTGGGCCTCGTCTCCCTCGCTCTGGCGAATTCTGGAGTTACAAGAATAGCGTGCCTGTCTTTTTAAATCTGGCCTATTGTTTCCGACTAAGGAACTCCCGAGGGCACAGCCCCAGAGAGTGCCCATCACACCATCATCTGTACCCACATACCACCGGGAGATGTCCAGTGCGTGGCTCCATGGCCACGTGGGACAGCCTTGAATACCTCTGAAAATGTGTGTGTGTATATATATACACATACATATATATATACATTGAATCCTGAATGATTCGTTCAATACGTTAGATGTTCTGTAGTTGACTGGCATCTCACATTTCACAGGACCTCACCAAAGTTTAAATATGAATTCAGACGGTTTCGCAGCACTTTCAAAAGCTACAAAATCTATCGGGACAACAGCTATGCACGCTTCAGGAGGGGACCTCAAAGGGGGCGGATGATTAATTTCTTTCCTGGCAGGTGGACAGAGGATGACTAAGAAACCGTGTGAACCAAATATTGATAGTTCAGGAAAATGACACGCAGGCATTTTTTTTAAACAGGGGGAGCAGGGCTCAGTCTTCCAGGTTCTCACTGGGAGTCCGTACACACTCACTGGGCATTTACTCAGGTGGACCCAAACAGAAAAACCTTCACGATTTAATCACTGGAATCGTTCATGTAGCTTGTTCCGTTTAAGCCAAACCAAGCTAAGACTTCCTGGTTTATTTAACAACATCCACAGGTAGAAGAATAATGTAGTATATTTCCCCCATGGCCTAAGTGTTAAGATTCCTTCATTCCTGGATTCCAAGGACTTGTCTTGCCTCCCAGATTTCCTTGTGCCTATTATGTTTTCCCTTCCTTTCAATATCTTCACACACACACACAGCACATTCCAAACACAGCAAGTTAGTACCCTCTCTATTCCTCCCTGTTATTCCTTAAAAAACTAGTGGACGTCCGTATTTCAGACGTATGGCCTTCAGCCCGTCTGCAGGCTGACGGCTCGGGTTCTCTGCTGATTGCTTTCTTCCACCCTCAGTATTTTGGGGACCGTCCCAGGAGAGCGGTGGCGTAATGCACAGGTAATGCCATGTCTACAGGAAGGGCCAGAGCTAATCTTGTACTGTCAGGAGTTCTGTGAAAAATCGTCTCGTGGGGTCTTACTTGTTCCCCGCTGGGAAGGTGCCCTCTGAAAGCAGGCCACCGTATTTGATGGCCTGCAGGAAAGCCGTTCCCGTGCACTCAGAAGCTCCCGTGTTCCGCCTACACTGACCTGGTCTCCACCGCAGGCTTTCGAACGTGGCACAAGACACGAGCTCACGTTCGCTGCCTCTTGAAATGTGTGCGTTTCAGTGCGAGGAGGAGTGTTTTAGGTGAGGGAGCTCCGCCGAGTGTTTCCTGCAGAAACACCTGCATTACGGAGCTGCTCTCCGACCAGGGCGGGAGTTCTTTATGCAAAATACAAAAACCCCTCGTGACAAGGGCTTCTCACGCAGGGGCGATGTCTGGGGGTAGCAGTGGGGGGCGGGGAGGGACGCTACGGGCAGCAGTGAGTGGAGGGAGGCCGAGGAGGCTGGGAAAAGCCGTACCACCCTCACCCAAACGACCGGGTCTGCAATGTCCCCGTGCTTCTGCTGAGAAACGCCAACCCCGGCACTTCCGCTGAATAGTAGTTAACATGGCATCGCATATACAGTTTAATGATTATGTCTCTTCTCAAACATCCCTAACCAGTTTCTGGGAAAATATTTTCTTGGCCTAAGTCTAGGCAAAACTAGAAGCACGCACAAACAAGCAGAATGACTTAGAACAGGCTGTTCTGCAGGCTTCCTGTGCGTCATTTTGACGAGCGCCGAATTACAGACTCCCTCCGCTCTCGTCAGCTCGGTGACTCCGTTCACGTTAGTGAAACTCTAAGGAAAGGCCCCAAATCACAGTGAATATCACGTAAGCTAGACAGGCGCCCCTGTCTCATCATGTTACTGAGTCTGTCGCTGTGATTCGTCCTACAAACCACCCGTCCACACCTTGGGCTTTCGGACCCCCACAGGGGCATCACGTTCTCTGAAATCTTTCTGGGCTGCAGCCACAGCTTGTTTAAACATGAACGAGACTCAGGTGAGTGACGTCGTCCGCACCATGGGCTGCAGTCTGGAGCCAAGCAACTCATGTTAAAAAAAAAAAAGGTGAGAAAAGTAACCAAGTGGGAGGAGGGAGAGCAAGACACCAAACTGTCCAAGACAGACATGGGATCAGAGGGGAGGTGGGGGTGCAGTGTGGGGAAGCGGGGAGAGGACAGTGGCCTGGCTCCCCGTGACAATCTGAGGGACCTTCTCCCCAGACTCCACGGGGCGGCCACACCTTTCACTGCCTGGTTCCAGCCGCGGCTGCAGCCGCAGAAAGAGAAATGATAGCTTCCAACCCATCATTTCCCCTCTTACCTATAATCCCCCAGTTCCAGTCTGTCTGACTACTCAGCAAAGTTGTGGGGTTTTTTTTAGGGTGTCTTTTTTTTTCTTTTAAAAACACATGCGTGCAGCTTTGGGAGACCCCCCCATACGCTCTCCACGCAGAAGAAGCAGAAGCCCGCCCTGGAAACCCTCAATGAGGAAGAACGCCCTGCCGGGACGTGCAGGGGCACGAAAGACACATGGGACCGCCTCTCGTAACAGAGACTGTCACGGTGTCACTAAAAGCCACCACCTGCTGCAGGCCTTCCTCCCAAACCCGCTCTGAGGCCGGGCAGACCAGACCGAGGGCAGACCAGACCGAGGGCCTCCCGAAGGCCTGCGCGTGCGCCCCAATAGGCTGGGCCCAGGGAGAGCTCCGCGGTTCACTTCTATGCATCTACTCCTACGTTCAAAGACAGCGAAGATGAAAGCTATCATCTGACACGTGTCACATTCAGTGGCACTGAAATGCGTGTTATCATGGCCCCAGCTCCCTGCGGTCCCCAGTGTATTTACGTGTCCCCCTGCAAGGCTGGCTCGGTGACCTGGCCAGCATTTCGGGAAAAAGCAAAGGGAAGAGAGCCAGGTTGGGGGACAGTGGTCTGTACGGAGAGAACAAGTGTGTCAACTGCCCTGGGAGAGGGACCGACGCACCTGAGCCCAGCCCACGTCTCGGGCGCTGCCCGCTGGTCTTTGGAGAGGAACCATCTCTCTGTTCAGTGTCTGGGGGACCGCCGTCCGAGATGCAGATCTCGGCCTTCGGGTTCCTTGACGGACGGGCCGATGATGTTGCCAACATCCCTGCCGAAAAAAACAAAACACAAAGGGAGACAGGACGTGAAACTCAGGCCACTCTAGGCAAATGAGCCGTTCGTGGAGGTTAAAACTGATTTTTACCCCCAAATCAATCCATTAGCCCAAACTGATTTCTATCCAACCCATTCATAGAGGTCCGCCAACTTTTCACATCCCAAATGTTCTCCTTTCTGGGGCTACCAATCTGGCCCCAGAAAACACTGTTTGGGTTCAGCCCACATTTAGTAGGTCTGGTAGAACAATAGCCAGGGCCTGAGGAAAAGATGAAACAAACAGTTTTGGCTGCGTAATTAATTGTGAGAATCAGTTTTCACTTGGATGCATCTCCCATTGGAAAAAGGTTTGAAATTATTAAATCATATTCAGACATTTGTTAAATAAATCTGGGTTTCATTGCCAAACATATTAAGTATATTTGCTTTGCCTTTTACCATTTCTCTAAGGAGATTAATTAATCCATCTGAATTATACAATGATATCTCCATATCATCTTTCTAGCTCATGATAACAGTTGAATTTTCAAAAAGAAAATCTTGAATGCGATTAAGCAATATGTGCCCCTTTCAATTAGACTAAATGAAAGCAAGCAAATGTGTTTCTTTCCTTTTTACTAATGAATTAGAGAGTTCTGGTATTTTGCTTAAAAAATACTATAAGAGACGCTGTTCAGACAAAGGGTCAATATAAATAAATAGGTCAGATATACTTGAAGACATGCAAAAATCACAGGGAATCAGGCTTGCTGTTACAGAAGCTGACACATTCTGAAAAGGTCACAGGAACACCGACCAACCGGCCCGCATGGTGACAATCCCGCGGTGGTGGACTGACCCCGTTACCGATTCTACCCAGAGGGCCTCCCTCACGCCATCAGGGCCGCTGCCTCGAGCCCCACCTTACAGCTGGAGTCTCCAAACACGGCCTGCATCCTGCCCTTTCCTCCCACACACGGGCCCCTTGAGTTTAGGAGGCAACACTGCTTCGATAGCTCACTGCTCAAGAACTTCCAGGGATCGGCAAAACTCATTTCAGAGGGGGAAACTGAGGCTCAGAGACTCCCCAAGGCATGCTAACAAGGTCCCCCGACTTCTGCACGGGTGCTCGGCCATACCCTTTTGACGGCAAACAGACGAACGCTTTGCTGCACTTAGATTATTTTAGAGACCACGAGGACATAACAGTTTCATCAGTGAGTACCAGGACCTCATTCAAAATGCCATGGAGAATTAGGAGCAAGCAGCCTGGGGAGGGTCCCTAGAATGGATCCTGATGGGGACGCTGGGGTGGCAATGAGGAGTTTGTGCAGAACCCTGGAATGGTCCTGGGGCTGTCCTCGGTCACCTCGCACTGGGGGACGCCTGTGCCCCCCACCAGCTTCTGTTCTCTGTCACTGACACTCCCTTCGAATAAAGAAGTTTAAGAATCTCAGGAGCTTGAAAGAAAGTAGTAGAGTCCAAACCCGTGTTCTTAATTAAAAAAATGTGCTGTGATTTTTTAAAATTAAAAGTCACAGGAAGCCCATTCCAACTATTCCAGAGGCCTTGAACCTGTCCACTCAGAACGGCACCACTGCATGGACAGGACGGGAGGGGAGCGACGTGTTCTGAGACCGAGGGCTGGCGGAAGATGTCGCCTGAGCTCAGGCGCATGTGAAGGGGGACGAGACACCGTCACACCGTCCAATGACAACTTCGACAGAACCCCGCCATTTAAAAGCCCCTCCTCACATACAACAGAATCTGCGTCCCATGCGGATTAAAGAACACAAGCACACAGCAGAGTCACAAATCTCAGAGGGCAGCTGGGAGAAGACCCATCCTTTGCATAAAAAAAGATGATTTTAAATGAGTATTTCAAGCTTTCTCCCTCCCCCCACCCCACCCCATTACTTCTGGCTATGCTATGAATTAATGACCAAGTCCTTTTCCTCATTTTTTTCTTTCCCCACACATTTGCCTTTTCATCTCTGAAAGTCGTCCTGGCCTATGTGAGTTCAGGAAGCAAAGCAGCCTGCCCTTCGGGGGTGAGCAATGGCTTTCCTTTGTCCCTGGGCCTGCCTTTGCACCCACTCGCCTGGCGTGGCGTGGAGGCCGAGCAGACAGCCCTCCCCGAGAGACGCCAGAAGGGGCCGTGGGAGCCAAGGGCCCTGGGCTCACAAGCTCCAGCCTGCCTGCTTGGCAGGGCCCAGATGCTGAGGTCTGCATCTCCAATAAACCCTCGCTGCCTCTCCGGCAGCGACAGCTTGGGGCTGCTGGGAGGGGCATCCTTTCATAGGAAACACACTCACAAGGATGTAATATTATCTTGCTGAATCCTTTGATTCAACAGGGTTTCTTCTGGCTTCCTCCCTTTATTCTGCAGACCCGGTGAAGGAAGCCTGGGTTCATTTTTATGCAACAACGTCTCTCTGCTGAGCTCAAGATCTTTTTCACCATGTGCTTAAAAAAAAAAAAATTCTCGCCACTGAATGTCTTTTTACAGGCTGAAAAGACTTTTAGGTTCAACAACATTTGTTAGGCTTTGATGCAATCAGATGCAATTTCAGCCTCCTTGAAACGCACGGCTCCGCCCTCCCCCCTCCCCCCAGCGTCACACATGTGTGACGGCTCGCAGCGCTCCTCCTGGGCGTCGTGCACATGCAATCTATTTTCCCCGAGAAAAACGGGGTCTTTGTGCCTTTGTCTGTGGGCGCTGCTCTGTGCTGAGTCCTGCCAGAGCCAGCACTGTCGAGGCATGGGGTGGGGGTGGGGCCTGCCAGCCCCCCCCTGCTCTGTTTCTGTCATTTCTGGCCACTCAGCAGTATTTATTCGAAGGTCTCAGAGAGGGGCCCGGAGGGAGGGCGGCTTTTCACTGATGAAAGCCTGACTCGGAGGACTGCCCATGCTAATGACCACGGGGAGAGGGGGCTTCGGAGAAACTTTTACGGGGCTCTAATGAAAAGGACTCTTTGGAAATGGCTCATTTACAAAATTGCACATGGTAACATTTCCAGATCTCAGGGCAGAAAGTCTCTCTCCGCATTAGGTTACGGGTTTCATGGCTCTCTGCCTGGCCCGGGCCCGCGCAGCTGGTTTAATTTTCCACCGGCGGCTTCTGGTTCTTTCTGCCCTCATTTCCCTGTACCCTCACTGACAGCCCAATTAAACATCTGCATTTTTTAATCTGGACCCCCCCCCAAAACTATTTTGCTTTTCTTCTAAAATTTCCAGATGTCCTGGCTCCTTCATAACTTTAATGCATGCAAGTATATTTGCTGCTATTTCAGAGACAGAGCAGGACAAGCTGACCAGACATTTCCACAGGAAAAGCTTTGTGAGACGCTGGTGATCAGGTCACTGTTGCTGTCTTTTCAGCATCACCTTCACGTTAGAATGTATCTTACTGCCTTGGGGTCTGAAACATTTTTCTGGGCTACGAAAGAGTTCAAAACTGATACTGTGATTGCTCCATTCACTGTCACGTCCAATGAAGAAAGTCTCCAACTCTGTTACCTGCAGGTCTAGGAATAGGAAAAGAAGTTGCCGTTTTTGTTTTTTCAGTTCTGTCTTTTTAATTTTTTTTTTCTGAGAAACAAGAAGTTGTAAGCTACGTGAGACAACAATGTATTTTAATTCGGTTTCCGGCTTCCTATGCATACAAAAGCTTCATCAGTGTCTTGCCTTGAAGTGTCTGGATGCGTTAAAAGAATCTTGAATGTATTTCGAGAAAACCTGTTTCCCATAATTAATAACAGGAAGTGGGGTAAACAGACATTTGCTGACAACTGAAAGAGCCACACACGCGTGCACACACGCACACAGAGGCGTGGGAGGCACTGTGCATTTACCCCCAAAGGGGCCTGGTGCCCAAGTCCGCAGGCAAAACTGCCATAAAACCCCGTGGAAAACGGTCAACTCCTTTCACATTTCAAGGCAATTTCTGACCATTTAAATACACGCTTGCAGAACGGAACCATTTCTCCCAGCAGCCACTGTGTGAACACCGTGGTGTCAGGCTGCTGACGTGCGTTAAATATCCAGGCAGAAAACCCTCATTTCCTGGAGGGCAGCTTTTCCAGACAGTCGAGCGGACGTGACAAAGGACAACCTTTTCCTTATTAAAAAATTATTAGGTTTCTGAAGGCTGCTCTGGAAATTCGAAGGCCGGAGAGGATGACCTTGGAGTGTATCTGTTGTTGCTTTAGGGGTGGGGGGAGCATATTCTCGAGACCTTAGGCAAATTACATGCCAGTCATTAATTAGACACAAAGGATCACGGGGCAGAGCTTACCCCACGCATGCTCAAAGGCCCAGACCGAGCTCCCCGGGATGGCGTGTGCGTGTCTTCACCCCCTGTGGCACCCTGCGCGCAGTGGGCCGACCCGCGGTGCGGTTTCCTGCTTTCCTAGAAACACTGAGCTCAGTGTGACTTTGGAGAATTTTCAGTTTGCTGCTTATTCTGAAGTTAAGTTTTAGGGATGCGTGTCTTGACCCTTCAACGTGAAAAATGTGTATTACGTCAAAGGCAGATGAACCCAAACTGTTTATTTCCAGTTCTGTGGGAGGAGCAGGCAAGTCGAGGTGACAGCGACAGAGGGGCCTGCCTGTGCTCTGGGACGCACTGCGTTGGCAAAGGGCAGGGGGCTGACGATTCCAGGGTCCTGATGAGAAACCTACACTGATCTCCCGTGGCCTGAGGTGGGAGCATTGCTGGTAAGCCCCTAGGAAGTGACGTCTCAAAGCTGGACCAGTGAGGGGGGTGGTGGGACCTGGCAGTCAGGGCCAGAGGCTTTTGACCATATCTAAGGCACAGGGTGCGGCACAAACCGTGCCCCCTCATCACAAACTCTGTCATTACAAAATCACAAGCAGGTAATTCTGGAACGTCGCGCTATCACACTCCAGCACACCGCATGACATAGTCAAGTTAAAACTGTCATTATGACCTTCGTGGGATCGCCCGCCAGCTTCTGTCCGACCCTGTCCATCCACACAAATGACCTCATT